GCAATTCCTGAGGGGGAGGGGGTTGTGTGACCTCCTGGGTTCTGTGCGTGTCAGATACCTGGGTAGTGTGTGCATACTTGTGTCCCAGGTGACTGGAGTCTGTGTGCGTGCGTGTGTCCTGGACAGCAGGGTTCGGCGTGTTCGTGTCCCGGACACTCGGGTTCCGTGTGCGAGTGTCCCGGGTGCGGGACACTGCCTGACGCCGTCTCTCCCCCGCAGACCAACATCCCCTTCCTGCAGAACGTGCTGAGCAACGGGCAGTTTCTGCGGGGCACGGTGGACACGCAGTTCATCGACGAGCACCCCGAGCTCTTCAACCTGCGCCCGGGACAGAACCGAGCCCAGAAGCTGCTGCACTACCTGGGTGTGGCCCGCGGGGGGCACTAATACAAAGCTATATGGCCCAGGGGGATATGGCTGTTAGGGAGGTTGATATAGGCGCATAAGACCCAATGGGGGCTGGTATAGATGTATATGGCCTGGTGTGGGGGGTGACCTGGGCTGAAATGTGGGGTATGGCCCTCAGGGGGGCTGATATAGGAATACAAGGTCTGACAGGGTATAGGGTCTTGAGCGGGGTGATATAGGGTATATGGCCTGGGCGAAGGGGGAAGGGCTGGTGTAGGAGGGTCTAGCCCAGTGGGGTGCTGATATGGGGGGGGTTGTGGCCCTGGGGGGGAAGTCCTGGGCTGATCCGGGAGCATACAGCATGGGAGGGCTGATATAGGGGGATATTGTCTGGGGGGGCACTGCTATAGGGATATAGGGCTGGTGGGGTTGATATAGGGGTATATGGCCTGGGGAGGTGGCTGCACTGATACAGGGGATACGGCCACAGGCACTGGGCTGATATGGGGGGGATCCACTCTGGTGGGGGCTGGGTGTGGGAGGATATGGCCCAGTGTGGGAGGGCTGGTATAGGAGTATAGGGCCTGGGAGGGGAGCTCTGGGCTAAAACATGAGGATACAGCCCTGGTGGGGACTGATATAGGGGTACCGGACTCAGATGCGGTGGTGGGGCTGATATAGGGGCCTTCAGGCTGGGGGGAGGGGAACTGGGCTGATATAGGAGGATATGGCCTGGGGGGCTGATCTAGGGGAATATAGCCATGGCGGGGGGTGATATAGGGGTATGTGCCCCAGGGGGGTACAGCCCTGGGGGGAGGTCTCATAAGGCCTGTGGAGGGATGGTGCCAGTCCAATATGGGTCCCTAAGGTCCTGGGGGAGGGTCCCAGGCTCCTGACTCCATCCCCTCCGCAGGTCACGTGATGGTGAACGGCCCGACCACGCCCCTGCCCGTCAAAGCCCGGCCCTCGCCCGTGGACCCCGTGGAGCCCACCGTGCCCATGGGTGAGTGAGTCCCTGCAGTTGCCCGGATGCTCAGGGTCTCTCTGGCTGTGGGAGGGGGCTGGGGAGTGAGAGTGGGAGGGCTGGGAGCCTGGACCCCTGGGTTCTCTGGGAGGGGAGTGGGGCTGAGGGGTTAGAGCAGGGGGGCTTGGGGCCCAGACCCCTGGGTTCTTCCTAGCACTGGGAGGGGAGTGAGTGGAGCTGGGCTGTTAGAGCACGGGTGGCTGCGAGCCTGGACTCCTGGGTTGTCTCTGGGTCCAGGAGTGGGGCAGGAGCTGGGAGGACCCGAACGCCAGGTCCCCGGCTCCCGCTGACCTGTCTTTGCCTGCAGGGCCGCCCCCGTCGGGGCTGCGAGAAGTGCTGCTGCGCGAGGGCCCTGAGGGCTTTGCACGGGCAGTGCGGGAGCATCGGGGGCTGCTGCTCATGGACACGACCTTCCGTGACGCGCACCAGTCACTGCTGGCCACACGCGTGCGCACCCGCGACCTTAAGCGTGTTGCCCCCTTCGTGGCTCACAGCTTCAGCCGCCTCTTCAGCATCGAGAATTGGGGTGGTGAGTGTGGCCTGCCTCGTGCACGCTCTGCGCACAGAGGACCCTGGCATCTGGGGTGCACACACAGAGGACACAGGCATCTATGTCCCACATGCACATGCACACACATGGGACCTGGGTGTCTGGGGGATGTGCACCTACCCACACACATGGGACCAGGGTGTATGAGGCATGCGCGCGCACACACACACACGAGACCCAGGTGTCTGGGATGCACAAGCACACACACATACATGGGGCCCAGGCATTCAGGTCATGCACGTGTCCAGGGCACCCCACACACATGGGATCCAGGCATCTGGGGCACATGCATATGTCGTCACATGCATCCAGGGCACCCATACATGCGCACACATACAGGTGAATACATGGGCCCCAGGCATTCAGGTCATGCACATGGGACCCAGGTGTCTGGGGCACCACCCACACCCCTGCACGCATGCACACCCACACACACATGTGCATACCAACCAGGTCCCAGGCATCTGGGCATAGACACACACACACGCATGTAAACACGCTCACAGCCCAGGCACTCATGACGTGTGAGCACACGGAAGGCGAACACCCTTGCCGTCGCCAGGGGGTGCTTGCCCAATCCAGGCCTGACCCAGGGACGTAGATTGGGCCTGGACACCTGCGTTCTTTCCCTGGTGCTGGGGGGCTCCATGGGTGTTGGTGCTGGGGGGTAGGAGGTGGAGGGGACAGGCAGGCAAGCGGAGGCAGGTGCTGGGAGCTAGGATGCCTGGGTCCCCTCCAGCCCTAGGAGGGCAACGAGGGCTGGGCGGGGAAAGCAAGCAGCACCAGCCAATGGCGTATGGGTGTGGCCAACCTGAGGGGGTGGAGCATGGTGGAGGGGGCAGGGCAGGGCGGGGCTTGGGGGGTCCCACTCACCTGTCCATCTGCCCCAGGCGCCACCTTTGACGTGGCCATGCGCTTCCTGTACGAGTGCCCATGGCAGCGGCTGCAGGAGCTGCGGGAGCTGATCCCCAACATCCCCTTCCAGATGCTGCTGCGTGGTGCCAATGCCGTGGGCTACACCAACTACCCTGACAATGCTGTCTTCAGGTGTGGCGGGGCTGCAGGGCGAGAGCGAGGGGCATTGGCTGGGCTGGGGGAAGGTGCAGGGGGCTGCGGGTTGGGAGTGAGAGGCATTGGCTGGGCTGTGGGGGCAGGGGGGGTGCAGGGCCTGTGAGTCAGGAGTGAGGGGCACTGGGAGGCAGTGGGTAGGGACTGAGTTCCCGGCCCGCAGGTTCTGCGAGGCGGCCAAAGAGAACGGCATGGACATCTTCCGCGTCTTTGACTCCCTCAACTACCTGCCCAACATGGTGCTGGGCATGGAGGCGGCCGGGCGCGCAGGCGGTGTCGTGGAAGCCGCCATCTCCTACACGGGCGACGTGGCTGATCCCTCCCGCACGAAGTACACACTGAACTACTACCTGCAGCTGGCTGACCAGCTCGTCAAGGCTGGCACCCACATCCTCTGCATCAAGGTGCCCAGGGCAGGGGCTGTGGGTTTGGCGTGAGGGGCACCAGCTGGGTTGGGGGAGCTCCAGCAGGGCTAGGTGGGGCAGTTCAGGAATGAGGGGCAGTGCTGGGGGCTGTGGTTCAGGAGTGAGGGGAACCACTGGGGGGACTGGTGGGTTGGGAGTGAGGGGCACCACTGGGGCTGTGGGTCAGGAAAAAGGGGCACTGCTGGGGGTTGTGAGTCAGGAGAGCAGGGCACCGCTGGAGCTGCCTGCCAACTCCCCTTGTGCCCCACAGGACATGGCTGGGCTGCTGAAGCCACAGGCCTCGGAGCTGCTGGTAGGGGCGCTGCGGGCGCGGTTCCCGACGCTGCCGCTGCATGTGCACACCCACGACACATCAGGAGCGGGGGTGGCAGCGCTGCTGGCAGCTGCGAATGCCGGCGCCGATGTGGTGGACGTGGCTGTGGACGCCATGTCGGGGATGACATCGCAGCCCAGCATGGGTGCCATGGTGGCCTGCACCCGTGGCACTGCCCTCGACACAGGTCCGTGGCACAGCGGGGCCGGGGCCCAGACCTCTGGGTTCCCTCCAGCTCTGGCAGGGACAGGGGCTGGGGGGTGGGAGCACCAGGGCTGGGAGCCTGGAGCCCCTGACATCTAGGGATTCTGGGATGGGAGCCTGGACACCTGGGTTCTCCCTGAGAGGGGAGGGGGCTCTAGGGGTCCTGGTGCCCGTCACCTGGGTTCTCTCTGGGAAGCAGGGAGTCTGGGAGCTCAGAGCAGGGGGTTCGTAGCACCCAGACACTTGGGTTCCCAAGGCAGGGATGGAGTCTGGGTCACAGTAGGGGGGCCCGGACATCTGGGTCCTCCTGGGGCAGGAAGAGGCTCTGGAGTGCTCCATGCTGTTCCCCCACCCCCTATGCAGGGCTCCCGCTGGAGCGGGTGTTCGACTACAGCGAGTACTGGGAGGCGGCGCGCGGGCTGTACGCGCCCTTCGACTGCACGGCCACCATGAAGTCGGGCAACGCAGACGTGTACGAGAACGAGATCCCGGGCGGGCAGTACACCAACCTGCACTTCCAGGCCCACAGCATGGGGCTGGGCAACAAGTTCAAGCAGGTCAAGAAGGCCTACGTAGAAGCCAACCAGATCCTGGGCGACCTCATCAAGGTGGGTGGGGTCAGGGATGGGAGCGGGGCAAGATTGGGGGTGGGGACTGGGGGCAGGGCC